AATCATTATCTTGTCATCTTAATTCCTGTTCTTTTATTGTTCTTTCTCTTTAATAATGTCTTCTTTCCTCATATTCTTCCACACTCAGTAACCCCTTGTGTGTTAGTGGCTTTATAGCCTTACTTGGATTTGAAATTATTAAAAAAAAAAAAAATTTCTGGCAAGCCAAGTTTATTAATTCTGACTTCATGTCAGTTATTGCGTGTGAAGAGATATGGGAAATTTAAACCTCTAGAGAAAGAACTTGGAACAATTTTGTTTTTCTCTCTTTAGAATTCTTCTCTAAAACTATTGAAAAAGTCTTTTGTGCATAAAATCTTAGACATTTTTATAAATTTTGCATTAAGCATCATGATCTGTGAAAAATTTAATGCAATCAACATGTCAAAATTCCTGAAATGTCTCTCTCAGCTTAAAAGAAATGTTCTTTGTTCTTTTACTATGTATGCAGTTATGTGATCCTCACTCAGCAGCAACAAATATATAACTAGTGAATTTTGGATGGTGTGGTTGAAAGGTTAAAAAAATAAGTTTAAAAGCTGTGTATGTTTTATCTATCCCAGTGCTTTTCAAATGTGATGGCCTCCAATCCCTGGGGACGATTTTCTAGATGAATTTGTCATATGGATAAGTTCTAAGTGTAATGGCAAAAAGGGAAAAAAATCCAAAATGGCAATGGAATTGAGGAAAGTTGTGAATATAAGGGGAAGAATGTGATTTCAAACTCAGACCACTGCTGATTTAACCACTGATATAATGAATAGTCTATTGAATGGATTTTTATTTTACCACTTTAACCTATATTCTCCTGAGGCATTTCCCCCCCATATATTGAGATCATTTTGCTTAAAGATCATATTTTATTGATTCCAGATAAAAACTTGAAATTTTTTAATCCTATTTCAGTGAAATTTTCACTTTTCAAAATTATAGTTTATAATTATGGTTTAGACATAGGAGTAAAAGGTGTCAGTTTAAACTGATGTTCGGAGGATATAAATTCATAATTGCAGAAGCAGTAACACTATAAATGCTAACACACACACACACACACACACACACACACACACACATATATATTCAAAAATTATATTTAGTGAATACAAGTGTTTGAGTAGATATCCCTGATTGCTTTTTTTGTTATTTTTTGTTTTTTATTTTTTACAGTGTAAATTTCCTCTATGTGCCATGACTTTCCACTATTTCCTGTCCTTTGTAGCTCTTAATAAGTTGTCTTTTTGTTATCTATCTTCAATCTTACTCTGTTATCTATTTACTCAAGCTCCCTAGGTAGGTTATGTGTTGATTTTTTTTGTCCTCCTTACCTTCAATCTATCCTATTAGTATTAAATTTTCCAAGCTCTCTAAATTTCAACTATTTCTTCCTGATATATATGTGTCCTTTTTGTTTCCATTTTCTGTAAAACCTGATCATTGATCACATGTTTGGTCCATGGTATCCACAGCATCTTTCTGTAGAACCACATTTCTGTTGATTAAAGTCTTTTTTTTTTTTTTAATCTGTGAGGAGATTATCCAACATTCACTGCAACATAGGACTGATATTACATAACAGTCCATTACTCTTTTAGTGTATAAAGATTTTGATAGGGTATGAACCTGTATCCCCTTTGGAGTGGAAAAACCACTATTACACCGAGGGTGCTTTTAGATTATTCAGTCACAAAAGACTTTCAAAGTCAAGCAATGCTCAATTACCCTATTTAAGAAATGCTTATCTTTCATTCGGATCACTCAAGACCCATATCGGCTAGTTTTTATTTTTATATCCAAAATGCAGACAAAGTAATTTCTAAGTAATTAATGGTTTTTCTACTTGGTACCAAGTTTGTTCATTTACTAGAGTAGGGGTTCTTAGTCAGGGGGGAATTTCAGGGCTTTGGGGAGCATGATCTTTTAATTTTCTTGTTTTTTATTTACAGAATTTTGAGCCCATCATAAGTGGGGGGGAGTGTAAAAAAAAAAAACCTATAAAAATAATCCATGTATATGTATCAATATGGAAAAGAATGAAAATTTTCAATAATATATGCATGTTATTTGAAATGCACCTTTTGAGTCAAACATTCTAACATATGGGGAAAAGAGGTTGCCTTTGGCAAAAAAAAGGTTGAGAATTACTGTGTAAGGACAGCTAGCTAAACCCTGTTTCAAATAACTGCTCAGACACATTTGTTTTTCTTCAATACTTAACAGACACAAACTGTAATTTATACTGCATTCTTTTTTATGCTGAGCAGACCTTAGTTACAGTTTCTAGGAAAGAGTGCACAATCTAGTGTGATCAGCATGCTTGAATTCTTGGTCACAATAACTTCATACTAGCATAATCATTGATACTTTCCAAACAGTTTCATTTACAGTTTCCAGTCACTCTCCGAAAGTCCCACACCATGGGATTGTCCCTTCGGGCTGATATCAAAAAGTCACTTCCTTGATAAGTTGATTATGGTGAGATTCAAACCTGGGTCTCAGCCATTAAGTCATATATGTGCGTGCACTCTCTCTCTCTCACACACACACACACACACACACACACACACACCACGGTGGAGTAACGGATAGCAGCTCAGATTGAGGAATCTGAGAGCAGAGTTTGAATTCCAGTCAAGTATGTTAAATTCACTTAGATGCAAATACTCTTGGGAAAGGAATGAATCCATCTTTTCTCTACCCATTTATGGGTAAGTAGCAGGACAGACTGGGTCATATAGCCTTGAGTGACAACCAGATTAGAAGGAAAATTTAAATTCAAAACCTGAGGAAGGTTCTTTGAGGGATCTTTTGGCATACTATGTGCACTACTGTACATGTATTTGGCTCTTTCAAATGTGGTAGGTTCTGTGCAACCACTATGATCATATGAGTTGTCTTACCGTTCAGTTCTAAGAACTGAGTTGTTATACCCTCATATGTTGAAACCTCCGCAAGTTCAGCATATATATATATATATATATATATGATGTGATGGTTAAATTATTGCCATGTTATATTTTTAATTTCATACATGCATGTTTGTTTTTGACTTTGTCAACTACACAGTATAGCAGGGTCTGTTTGGCACTGTCTGTGAGAAAAAGAGCACCATGATGCAATTCACTCCACTAGAAATTTGGAAACATCCTGTACTGCTTGGCATAGTGCTACCCTGAGTCAAGAGGTTGGCTGCTGGAAGACCCTATGTCTGGCAACAGGACTCTGCACCATGCTACATAAGCATGAGAACCCAATCATTGCTGTAAGACAATTTCTGTGACTACATCACCTCTTACATCTGCTCACCTAACTCTCCAGACAACTGCAACCCCCTTGATTATTAGTGGGGTGCAGTTGAGCAAGAGACTAAAAAAACTCCTTGTAACACCAAAGATGAACTGAAGGCAATGATTATGGCAGCATTCATCAACTTAAACAAGGAGGCCATCCAGAAGAGTTGCAGGAGATTCCAAAGTCATCTGGAGGCTGTGGTTGAAGACAACAGATTTTTTTTTTTTTTTATCTGAATAAATTTACTCTTTACTATTTCAAGATATTTTTGTGTAATTTTGGTAAATATATATTGGTCAGTGATTATATTTTCATTTTTGTTTGGTTTGTTAAACATTTGGATGTTTAACTATTTGTTGGGGCCAGACTGAAGACACAAGTGGATTTGAGTTGACAAATATATTAGCAAAAATCGATAACATTCTTGCTCGTTTGTATATTATTTTAAGTCTGAACTGTCAGAGCTGACTGTTGGGGAAAAAACTCTGTCTCTGACAAAAACAGTACCTGCTTTTATTTGTAACTTGGGAGAGTCCATCTGTGTATGAGTAATTTGCCATAACACTATTCTGTATAGTTATTGTGTATCCTAAAACCAGTTATCAAACTATGAAAGACAAAAGGTTTTTTGTTGTCGAGTAATTGACTAGGGTTAAATGTAATTGGCAGAAATGCCTAAGAAACAGAATTGACATTTTCCATTAAATGACAAGAGAAATATAAAGAATTGGGCAAAAATAATATTAAGCAAGCAAACGATATATGCAACGCAAAGTAACAGTAATAAGGAAAAAAAGTTCACAAACTAAGAATGGTGTTAACACACAAAAGGAGATACAGACAAACGATCACAGTATTCTGATTTCAAGAGAAAACAAAACTATCTTATTAGTTAAAAAAAAAATCCGAGCATGAATAGGTATGTTTTATCTATAAATTTGGGGAGGGTGGAAGTTTTTGCAGTCATTCCTATACAGATTGGAACCAACACATGTATATATTCATAGGCAAGTGTCAATGGAACATGTAAGTTCTGCTTTATCTCATGAGTTCCCTTGTTTAAGATAAACACTCTTGTTTGGACAAACACTGGATCGATGTTTATCTTTGTAAACTTATTCAAAGCAAATGATGGATTACATACACAAAGTGTAATGTGTGTTGTTGTTGTTTTGTTTTTAAATTGCAGATCCTGGGGTTACGGACAATATTAGCAACATTTTAAAATCTGTGTATATGATTTACCAATTTGCTAAATCAAGTATAGATTTAGTTTTGTTTTTGCCCCCGTACTTCAATCACTGTAAAGAACACTAAACTGTTTTGTTTCTTTCTTTTACTTTTATTATACTTATATTTTTTTTTTTATTTACTATTGTAATTAATAGTAGCCTAGTATCTGCCAAAATATGACTTATTTACATAAGAATCAATGTTTCTTCCACTGAAAAGGCGTTGCCCCTCTGGCAAGGATCAAGATATTGATTTTGAATATGTAACTTTGTAAATTAATTTTACCAGATTGTTCAAACACTAGACTTTCTGGTCTTAATAGATTTGTAATTTACTCTTTTATCTTCAGTTTGAAATTTTAAATTGGGCCACCATTCACTTGTTATTTTGTATGTTTTTTGCCCTAGTTATGGACAGAGAAGAAAAGTGTCATTCCCACTGCTCATTACTATATATGATTATTATTATTATTATTTCAGGTGCTGGAGAAGCAGTCAGCAATATTACAACAGTATGTCTAAAGCAAAGAGCCAGCAACCAGCAGTCATCCATAAAGTGATTATGGTTGGTAGTGGTGGTGTTGGAAAATCTGCACTTACACTCCAATTTATGTATGATGAGGTTAGTAATTGGCTCTTATCGTGTTTCTATTATCTATTCCCAAGAGAATTCATATATATATATATATATATATATATATATATATTTTTGGTTGGGCATATATATATATATATATATATATATATATATATATATATATATATATATATATATATATATATATATATATATACACACACACACGCAGGATGGGCCATAAATTTACATATATAGAAAAAAATAAACAATTTATATTCAGCAACTGTTTTTATTTAAATAATATGCTCTATATGATTACCATTGTTTTGAAAATACATATTACTCTGTGTTTCCCACTGTTGATGAAAATGCATTAACACAGTTGAAGTTATGCTTGTAATGATGTTGGTGATATGTTCCTTGAGATGATTTATGTCTTGTATCTTCACCTGATACACCATGGTATTCAAGTGTTCCCAAAGATAGAAATCAAGTTGGGAGAGATTTGGAGATCTTGGAGGCCACTCCACAGGACCACACTGACGAATCCAAGCATCCGGAAACTGCTGCTTGAAATACTGATGCACTTGCATTTTCCTATGTATGGAAACTTATGGCCCTCTATATATATATATATATATATATATATATATATATATATATATATATATAAATGCAAATTGGGATCTGACAGGATGATAAGATAACAAATAGGATTGTTTATCAATCTAACATGTTGCACCTTTATTAAAGCTTTGTCAGAAATTGAGAGAAAACAGACAATACCAAAGTTCTTTCCTTTTGTCTGTTTTCTCTCAATCTCCGATTACGCCTTAATAAAAGTGATATGTTAGATTGATAAATGTTTCCTATTTGTTCTTTATCTTATCACATGTGCACACACACACACACACACACATATATATATATATATATATATATATATATATAGAGAGAGAGAGAGAGAGATGAAAGTATTGTGGGATATGTGGTGATGTCTTGGATTAGTGGTAATGTTGTAGCATTTACAAGAACTAATTTTTTTTATTATGAGGCTCAAGAGCCAATGAATGATGGGTATGATAATCTAGTAGGAAGTGAAAATAAAAGGATTGATTGATCTTTGCTTGCAGGAGGTTTTCTGTGAGATAGTTAAAACTAAACACTTGTAATGCTAATTTAAGAGAAAAAGATAAACTTCTAAAGTCTCTGCCTAAACTGTGAAGTTTTATTTACTATTTATTTTTCCTCAATAAGAGGAGGTAGGTTCACCTATCATCCGGTTCAAACTCCTTCTCGATGTTTTTAACAGGAGTAGAGGGTTATTTCTTGTTTCCAGTTCCTTCTATTTTCTTTTCATTCTCTGTCACTCCCAGCCACCCTGCCTTAATGGCATTATCACCTTAAAATTGATAAAAAAATAAAAAAGATCACTTCTGATGTACTGTGACATTTACCATGGCAGCATAATTTTTATTCTTAAGATTTATCAAAATCATACAGTTCTTTATTAATAAAATAACCAAATTAGTCTTTATTTTAAAAAAGGTAGAAATGCATTTTTTTTAATACTAAAGTTTACTCAATACAATGTTCAAGAGTCACTTAAAGGACAGTATTACTGAATGAGGTGTGTTGTATGAATGTAACATGAGGTTGTAGGAAGTGAAGATTATGAGGATAAAGAGGATAGATAATGAATGAACCATGACTAGAAGAAGTTAAGATTGTAGTGTCCATGGAAGCATCCATGTCCCATAAAGTAGCAGTTCTTGAAAAAGAGCAGTCAGGGGAATTTCTTTTTTACAGTTGGAATACTGATTTGAATCTATGGAGGTAGCATGACTAGTCCTAGCTGTAAAGGTTTGAATTGGTTGAACTAAAGGATGAAGCATGTGTAGATAGTGACATATGAGGCAGTGTCTCAAAAGATTGTTAGAAAAAGGTGTAGAATTTTTTTTTCACTCACATGTAAGTGAAGAATGTCTATTCTCACAAAAAATTCCATTCCAAGATATTCATTACTAACTATATACTTGATAAATTTTTCTATTTGAACTCCACCCTACTCAAAATCGGGGATTGACCTCTGATGGCGTGATTTTGAGAGATATGTAAAAAGTCTAAGGTGACATAGGAAGCCATAGTGAGCTGGTCAAATTAACAGATTGGCCACTTTGTTCCAATTCCCTCAACATTTAGCAATTTCTCATATATATATATATATATATATATATATATATATATATATATATATATATATATATATATATATATATTAATAAATATATTTTATGTTTAACATTTTTATGTTTAACTTTTTTTATAGATACAAGTATTTAAGTAAATGCTCTGTTTTATAATAAACAGTATTAAATAACATTTACCGGCCTTTAATAAATAAATTGTCGGACTTTGTACTAAGACAGAATTTATCCATTTCAATGTTTTAGTCAGACGAAATGCATAAGACAAGGGTTAGGGGAGCATGGAAGGTATTTGTCTTAAAGGGAAGAATATTAATCTCATGACATTTTCTATATTTTATTCCCCCACTGTATAACCTGTTTAAACTATATTAATTATAATCTATAAACTTTCCCCTACTTTAATATCTTCCCAACTCTCTTTCCATTAATCTCTTACATCCTTTTATCTTTATATTTTAAATTTACTTTTAGACCTCTTTTTATTCCTCTTTTAATTTTAAATGAATATTTTGTACTTCATATAACTCCAAAATAATTTCATATTTATTTTAGAATTTTTAAATTTATCTGTATGTGTTTAAATTTAACTAGTATTTCAATATAAGTGAGCTGACTGGGAATTGGATTTAGTAGAAATGTTAAATGGCATTAGTATATAAATGTTATATGCACATTAATATGTTGTTGCTGTATTTGTACTAAATTTTGTTGAGTGTTGGTTGGTTTTGATATAGAGGGCCTTATATATATATATACACACACACATACATATATATATATATATATATATATATATATATATAGTTTTCAAATGTTTGAGCAGATGTTTTTCCCTCCACTAAGTACTTTAGTTTGTTCATAGCTTTTTAAAAAATTTTTTTTTTTGTTACTGCTGAATTAGTCATTGATTTAGAGAAGGATAATAAACAATGTGTTGATAAACTATTAATCAATTTAAGTTAGTCATAGTTAAACTCGTTTACTCATATGATTAATCAAAAAAAAAGATATGGTGTACATTGAGTCTATACTCTTATTAGATTTTAACATGAGCCTTTAAATATGTTTTTTCTTGGGGGGGGGGGGGTTCTAGTGTTTTCTTCGGCAGGGTTCACCATAATGGCTTTTAAAACATTTAAGATTGCTCCACCTCTTTCATAACAAAGACACTGTCAGCTGGTGTTGCCAGTGCAAAGATAACTTTATTACAATAAAAATTTAAACATTACAGACAAAAGGTTTACAAGTACACCTGGTATGTTATGATGGTGTGCTGAAAGGTTCTCAGCTTGACCAAGAAGAGATTTAATAAAAAAAATTCAATGTTTCACCTGAATTTGAGAAGTGATTTGGGCTGAGAATTCAGAACAACCTTTATATGTGTATCTTGGTCAAAAGATTATATTAAGGTGTAAAAATAAGAGTAATCTACAGAGTGGCTGTCCAAACTGTTAATATATATATATATATATATATATATATATATATATATACGATAAACGCAATCAATTTACAAATTCATGAATTATTCACACAAAACTAATGCAAAGGTTAATGATTTAATTGGTGAGAAATCCATCATCGCAAACAATTCAAATAATATATAATATACAAAAACCTAATACGGCAGAAATTTATATAAAACAAGGATCATTTCATTCATAACGGATTCGGAGGTTTTTGTATATTATTTGAATTGTTTATGGCGATGGATTTCTTGCCAATTAAATCATTAACCTTGCATTAGTTTTTGTGTGAATAATTATGAATTTGTAAATTGATTGCACGCTTATCGTAATTTAAATAACTGATCCAAGCGCGACTTTTGGATAATAAGTGCGATTATTACTGTAATTATTGAACAATATAGTTCATGCCACTTTGACAGAAAATTTACCAGTAAAAAATTGTTCATCACCATATATGTATATGAACTAACAACTTTTAAAAAATTTAAAATCAAACTCAGCGCTGCTACTGGCTCCTCCAAAAACAATAACTCATTTCCAATAGCATTTTCGATACAACAATACATATATTTTCGTTGTCCTCTTATTACTAAGAGAAAAACAAGAACAACATCTATTCTATACCTGAAGATGTCTGTAGGAACAGACAAAAGCTTGTAGTAAAAATAAGAACTAATACGGCAGAAATTTATATAAACAAGGATCATTTCATTTCATAACGGATTTGGAGGTTTTTGTATATTATTTGAATTGTTTGCATGATGGATTTCTCGCCAATTAAATCATTAACCTTTGCATTAGTTTTTGTGTGAATAATTCATGAATAATATATATATATATATATATATATATATATATAAAACAGGAAAAGTTTATAAATCTAATATGTTTTGGTTTTATTAAAGTTTCATCAGAGAATGAGATAAGGAAAAATATTTTTTGTATTTTTATGCATGTGAAGTCTGTTTAACCAATGAAATTTAAACCTTTTAAAAATAAAAATACCCCCACCCCCATTTTTTTTGGGGGGTGCTATATCTAATTCTCTGAAGCTTTTATAAAAATGATACCTGTTAAATTTATAAACATTTCTTATTTGGTCTTTATCCTATCATTCTGTCAGATTTTGATCCCATTTCATATCTCACACTTTTAAATGAAAATATCAATTATTATCTTCTGTCTTAATTCCTCTTCGTTGTTCTTTCTTTAATAATTTTTTCTTGTACTCTTTCACACTCAGTAACCCCACTTCATCTTTTATATATATATATATATATATATATATAAATAATTTTCACCCCAAGCAAGGCAACAAAGCCACTATGATGCATAGGGATACTGAGTGTGGAAGAATAGAAGA